AATCGTCAATCATGACACAATACTCACTAGTATCTCCCTTTTCCTCCTCTCCCCCCTCCGTACTTGTATCCACTACCTCTTTCTTGGCTACGGCTACGACTACGCTCACGTTTCTTCTCGTCTCTCCAACTACCGCGATCAGCATACCGGCCGGCTGCTTTGCTCCAGTCTTCTTTCTTCGTACTCCTGGCAGCCTTCTCCGCCTTCTTCTTAGCTTCCCAAACGTCGTCGGGCAGCCACTTCCGTTTTGGTTTGCGATCAGAATCAGATGTTGTGGCTTCCGGTGTGGTGATCAATTTATGGGATCAATTAAAAAATTCACAATTACCAGTTTACCAGTTTATTAGCAGGATTCAGCAGGAAAGAAAATTCGAAATGGAGGTTTTTGATCAATTGAAGCTCTTGTAGGCTTATGTATTGGTCATTAGGTCAACATTACATTATTTTATTTCACATTATATATTAAGATCATTATAGTTTACTTACAAATTTATTACAAAAAGAAAGAAAGAAAAACATAAGAAAAATTCGAAATTATAGGTATAAAGGTTGGAAAATGGTTTTTAGGTTAGTAAAAATAAAGTTATGGGTATTATGAGGTTAGAATATGAAAGAACAACATTATATGATACTATGAAAATTTTAATCTTCAAGGTTGATAAGTAGAAACAGAAGTTATTAGGAAGAAAGCACTTTTTCGAAGTTGGTAAACAAGAGGTACACGTGTAGTTTGGTTGTGTAATAGTGGTAGTGATGGAATTTAAGGTTGCCAAGAGGATTTTCCGGGATTTTTAAGGCTATAGATGATGATGTAATATTACATGAGCAAGAAAGGCTTAGTAGTAGCTGTGAAAAGTGAAGAAAATGGGTGAAATTCGTGGAAAATGGAGGTTTTCAGCTAATTATATATGTCAAATGACGTCAGAATAGGTTGGTAGATGGCTCATTCAACGCAGAAGAGTGGATTACATAATGTACAAACTTTAAATCATTAGTAAAGGAGGTGTGTGTAAAAAGTTATAAGGCAAATAAAGAATTGGTGTGAATCTCGAATTTACAGTCACAAGTCATATGTAACACTAAAAACCTTAACTTCACAACTCAATATCTTACTCATCACTCATCAGAAGTAGGTCATGTAGGTGTCAGAAATGATCAGTAACACGTGGACTACAAGATGCACTTTAGTAATCAAAAATTGGAGCACATCTGAAAAAATTCGTAATCTCAAAAATTGGTTTTCAGCTAGTTTACAAGGAAAAAATCACCTGTATTCATCATAAGAAGTGCTGTACATCATATTATTGCGTCATTGATCACTTTTAGCTGTGAAAATTACATCATTTATTAGTAACAAAACCATTACATTGCGTCATCATAGGGTTTTTAGGGAATTTTGGGCGGATTTGATTGGTTTTGAGGCTGTTGACCATTGTAAAAGTTCTAGTACATTGTTATATATACTTTGAGAGGGTTTTGGGACTGTTGTTCCCCTTTTTTTTTCTTTATCATTTACGCCATTATTATTTTGTTTATCATCATAAACTTATTTTAATAGTACCTGTTCACTTAAATACGCCCTTTATTACAGTTATAAAGAGAAATTTACTTTAGTTTTATAGTCATAAAGACTTATTGGGAATAATATCAATCAGATATTGCTTATTTTTTTTCAGTTATCAATTGGGAATAACACTATAGCAGTGTTGATAGTAATACAAAGTGTGCTTTTGAAGTTAAAATTACGTGTGAAGTTATGTTTCTCTGGTGCCTTATCAGTACTCAATACAACAGAGCTCTTTCTGATTGTGTTGTTTTAGAAGAGCAGTCCTTAGACAACTTCTACTAGTCATTTTATTAGTAGATTATCCTCTTCCAGCTCTGTATAACCCTTGTTGGGTTATAAGTTCTACACCGGTACGTTTGCCTTCTTTGCGGCACCTGACGTCGACGTGGATGTTCTTGGAAGTCCCGTGTCTGGGTCGATGTGCTCTTTTGGGCCACCCGCTGCGTAAGGGTTCGTCTGATACGCTCTCTCCCCCATGTTGTCACACACTAACTTCACTTCTTCTAGGATTCGTGTCTGGACTTTCGATATGTTACATATCTTCTGATCAACCGTGATCCTCATCACGCCTTGCCGGATTTGTCTGCAGTACCTAAGAGCTACCATCCATCCAATATTTTCCCGTAAGTCCATCACTATGTCCATGTGTGACTTGAACCTTGATGCTTGGGTGATCCAACCTGCCTCTTCTACGTATCTAACGAATAACTTCATACTATCCAGCCATTGTTCAAACTGCATCAGGAGTTCATCCGGTGGGGGTTTTCCTCCGTACGCCTTCACGTTCGCACCACCTTTCAATATCTTTGCTTCCGTTAGGGGTTCCTTGATTTCCCACTCCTTTTGATTGTCACGTAACCACCGTTTGTTGAAGACTGTTAACGGTATGTATGCTTTAAATGTTTTCATCCACACTTGCAGAACTTGGGACAATGGGGTGAGAATCTTCTCCATTTGTTCGGCGTCGTTGTTTAAGATTCTTCGACCATTTTCTATTACGTCGCCGTTTGACAGAACCATCCGGCCTCTACCCGATTCTAGCATGGCTTTTGCCAGTTCTTCTTCCGATCTTGCCGGGGCTGCTGTTGGAGAGTCATTTTGCCCATTTTGGTCGGTGTTCTTCTCTGCCGTCCTCCCGCCTTCGACTTCTGCTCTAGATGGTCGAACATCATTTCTGGGATCGTGGCGTGGTGGCTGAGTGTGCGGGGGCGTAACCGATCTGTCCCGTCGGTGTCTACGAGGCGGTGATGAGGAGTCGTCTCTACGGTTTGGTTCTTGGCGAGCTTGGATGATGGCTCGTTGCGGCAAGGTACGTTGTATAGACGTTTGCATCCTCGGTGCCTCGGACGTCGCGTCTGAAAGATCTTCTTGGATCAACGTATAGGGACTCCGTCGTGGTGCCACTGGTGGGGGCGCGGGAAGAGGTTGTGGTGGTGGAGGGGGTGAAGGGCGCGTGGACATCGTGGGGTTCCCGTGATGGGGAGCTTTTGGTGGAGGTGTGCCCCGTTGTGTCTGTAGGGGATTTCTCGCTTTGCTCAGGCCTGGGGTTGGCCCTCTAGATGTTCGCCCTCGTGGCTCACGTAGGAACGTGTCACTGAAGTATGCCAATAGCGCTGCTCCTTGAGTCACCTTCCCTGCTGAGTATAGGTCATCTATCTCTGCTTGCATCCGTATCATGACGTCACCGTCGTCTGGAAAGGTCAGAAATTACCCAGTGTGTTAGTCATTCATGTCACTCCTCTATTTTGACGACTATAACTGGAGCTAACTGCGTTCCCTCCTACGCATCCACCATTTCTGGCTTCGCTAGAGGTTGTCTACTGATCAACATAGCCATCACTTAACGTGATCGATTCAATATGCGAATCCGCCAGCGGTCTTTTTGACATGGCCGCCACTGCGTGGCTTTCTAGCAATTAAGCTCGCCAACTCTTGATTACTATCAACGTGGCATGTCACCCAGGACCCTGCTTTCAGACCTTTGGTCTTACTCGTCAGAAACTTCAAGATTTGCCCCGTGGAGAATGTGTTCGGGTGTATGCAAAATTTCGTGTGATTCAAGATGACTGATGAAGATGAAATGTTTCGAGGTAGGGATTGATTGATTGGTGGTGGGGAGGTATGACTTTGTTTCTTCTGACTTACCCATTGATGAACGGTCTTCGGTTTCAGATCTAGCTCTCTCTTTTCCTTTTGGTTCTACCTCTGGTCGGTATGATTCGTTGTCAGCATCGGATTCAATCAGTTCTCCGTCTAAGAGAAGATCGTAGTCAATGGGTTCTCCGTCTTCTTCGCCTTCTTCTTCTTCCAAGATAACGTTTTCGACGTTTGCTCCTTTCCCGGTCGTCTTCTTGTTACCATTTCCTCTGCTTGCTGGTGCAAGTGCGGGGCCTGGCAGGACCCCTGTCGCTGCTGAGGTTGATCGAGTGATTTGGGCCACATTTTCTTCTGCCAATTCCAGTCTTGCGGCCAGTTCTTCATTTGTACCGCTCATCTTGTGCCTAGAGAAAATTTTTTCTATGTTTTCAATTCTTCTTAATCTTGCTTCTTATCTTTGAAATTGATATGAATGTAGCACTATTGAGCGTGTATTGATGAGAATGTGACTTAGGCCGAAGGGTGTTTGCAGAGTGAAAATTGTTGTGGTGAATTTTCCCTTTGGGTGCTGTATCAAATTCTCCGTGGGAGATGTTGCGTACAGGCTCTTAAGGTCTACTCTTAACCCTTGCTAAGTCCCCATGGGCTTTGGAACCAAACGTGCCTTATTGGTTCCATCAAGGATGTTATTCCATTCCTAGAATCATCCGTGAGATGTTGCGAAGTATCAACATTGACATGCTCATTCAACGTCACAATCAAGAAAGAAACAAGTTGAAATCGACAGTCCATCAAGAAGATGAATCGTGAATCTTTTGTTTTTACTTTTACTTTTATTTTATATCACGTCTCTCAATACATGTTTCTATTTTCATTTCATCTCTGCCTACGTAGTTGAATAACAATTGTTTATCCTTGTCTACATGCTCTAAAAGTTGTTTTTTTATCTTGCTATAAGGAAATCTTCCTGCTTCGTGCTTCTGAGAGCTGCAAACAGGGCTGTTTGTACGTCAGCCCCGGTACTATGCCGGGCCGGGCCGGGCCGGGCTTATGAGTTTTCCCGGTGAGGGATGTAGGTGTCGAAAAATGTCGGAATCTGAGGATTTTTTGGGAGTCACCCGTACTGGCAATCCCTTAAGGTCGGAATTTTCGACACCAACATCTACAGGAGCTTTCCTGGGTCCTGCTGTCACTTCCAACTTTCTCTGACATTTTTCGACATGTCGTTCATTCCCTCTCACACCAAAACTTGTCAGTCTCCTCCAGAGTCCAGACCTTACATCTTAAAATATCTCATCAAACCTGTCTCATTCTTCAACAATTGAAAGAACTTGCCATGCTTTTCTTCAAAATTGTCATTGCTGCTGTTCTAGCAGGTCAGTGAATTCATCCACCATACCTCCATTCGCACTCGATGTTACTCAGTTCTCTATCTATTATTACAGCCACAACCTCCGGCAGCCCGGTCCAAGATGACCAAACGTGAGGATAGCCTTGGCATATTTCTCTGTGTTGGTGCAACCGCTCTCAGAAACCTTGCCTAACGCATGACTTGCTTGATTTCAGTTTCACTCGTGAAGTCCTACAACGTCGATTTGTAGAATTTAGTCCCATCATTGAAAAGAGATCGTAAGTGAATGTTATGAGCATCAACTCTCGTCACTCTACTCTCCTACATCATTTGACTGATTGATATGATACCCGTCTACACAAAACAAATCGGACTACCTCAAGACCTCTCAAAACTCGTGCCTCCCAAATGGTTCCCCGTGGTGGACCCGGTTTCAATAAACCCTGCGAACTATGTGGAACCGTTTGTTGTTATTGACGTTTGTGACAAGTTCAAGAGGGCTATAGGTGAACGTGAACGCAGACCTTATTATAACATGCAAGGATTTCTTTCCTCGAGAAGACTCTTCTATGCATTCTCCTGGCCAAATTTTGAACTCGGCTTGCTTTCTTCATAGCCATCATCATACCAATTTATTTTTTTGTACGCCTATGACAATCTTGTCCCAACTTTAGTAGTTTCTCATCAAAAGTTTCACTACTCTGATTGTTCTGAATCAGTGGAAATTGGCAATGTCAAATGTATTTGTTTAGTCTTCGTATTGATCAATCTTGATTTGATTAAGGTGTCTGTTCACCTAAGTTCTTCGAAGGATCGTTCTGATTCTCAACGTGGTCGCGTCGGAAGAGGGCCTTGCTTAACCTTACTCACTCTGAGTCCCTCGCGAGGTCTTAATTTACATATATACAAGTACCGACCTCTATCGTTGAGTGAGAAATTAGAATCTTGATCGATCACTTACTTCAAACTATTCAAGCAAGCAATGTAAAAAGATGATTTCTTTAAAAACATCCATCAAGATTCTTATCATTCTTCTTACCATCATCATTTCTTTCGTTCAATCAAACACTGAAATTATAAAAATTAAAAACTTAATTCCACCTTTCTTAAACCAAGAATGGTAAGTCTCTCTCCATCAAACATTCTTTAAAAGAGTTACTAAACAAACAAATCTAAAAATCCGTTCGTTTTTCTTCTTCCTTAGTTCTGACTTCGATGAATTCTTTTCGGTTCCAGGTTGGATTCATATCACAACAGATTTAATCAATCATTCAATCACCAAATCGTTTTGTCTTCACCTAAATCATATCACCACCCCTAAACCTCAAAGCAATCCATTTTCACCAAATTCATTTCTTCAACACTTCACATCCATTTCAAATCATCTCTCACTTCATAATATTAAAACATATACTGTTCGTACAAGTTGGAGTGCATCAGATCATATAGATATCAATTCATCTTATCATCAACTTAACCGTTTATTAATCTTGATTGAATCTAACCATGATTCTTTGACGAAATCAATCGATCTAGATGTACTAATCGAAGCGGTTTATTTTGGTTTCTTACCTAAAACTTCAATTTCACTTGTAATTTCTTTATTGGTTTTGATTTTATTTTTCATTGATTTTCAAATTTATAAACAATTTGAGAATTTTTTAAGATTGATCACTGAAGATATTTGAACGAATTGGTATTCTCACCTCTTGCACATTTAATCAATCATCACATCACAGTTATCTCAATATATGAATCAATTGCTTGAGATTAAAAGATAGATGTGATTGATTTCAAATTGTATTTGTTCTATCTCATTCCATCACAACATTGGTTCATAAAAACTGACAATTAAATCATGAAATGCCTTTTAATTATTCATTACTTTTTCATCAAAAATGGAGATACCAAGTGATTCAACTGGCACTGCAAGATTGACAAGGCTTGTAAGCAAGCTTCACTTTGAAGGAATTATAAACTTTCTTTAATCATTTCCCTAAATATTTAAACCACACCCTAAGACACAATTGAGATCAACCAACAAGTCAGGTGGTGGGCGCGTGTTGATGGGTGAACAGGATGGGGTCTGAAATTTCTTTGAAGTCCCATGACTTTGAAAATCTGGGGCTCATCCGCACCATCAGTTCTGTATTCAATTTTGGCCAAATCACAGAGAACACCTGATAGACCTTCTTCTAGGCTCTAGCCCTACCGTTAAACGGTAAACCTGTCTGGAGCGATTCACACGTGATTATGTGTTTATGAAGGTGGCTATGGGATATGGGATTATGAGGGGATCAGGACGATGATGAAGGACAACGAAGAGACCAAAGCAAAGAACAGCAAAGAACCAAGAAGGTAAGCCAAAGAACTATCAGAATGAATTCCAAGGATGACTCAGTAGAACTTGAAGCTCAGCAAGAACGGTCAAGAGAAGAAATCGAATCCAAACCAAGCAGACCAACAATCAACTCAATCCAAACTGAACTTCATCACACTTTAACATCACCCACTCATTTAACCACTCCTTCATCAGAACACTATGACCATCACATCAACTCATCATCAACTATCAGTAGCGCAAGCTCAGCAAGATCAACTTCAAGTGTACAAGCAGTACCCATCAAAAGACCCTCTAGAAGACCTTCTCAAACACCATCTCAAAATCAAACTATCATCGTACCAACTCCAACCGAACACTATACTGAAACTTTGATCAGTTCTAGTTTGACTTCTTATCAATTCCCTCCGATCGCAAACCTTTCGATTCTACAATCTGATCATAATCCTTTACCACCTTCAATCACTTCACCATCTTTAATCAATTCTCCTTTACCTTCAGCTTCTCCTTCTCTTATGATAAGGAACAGTCCTTCTATCGATACTCATTCAATCTTAAGCTCAATTTCATATCAACTCCCTTCTTCATCATCTTCAACCTCAGCATCTACCTCAACCCAAACCCAAAAACAAACTCGTAAGACAATCAAAGATTATCATGTGAGTGAATCTTTTCGACTTTTCTTTAAACCTGAAGTCCAATCTTTCGAATTCCTAACCTTTGATTTTTCGATTCAAAAAAGATTGGAGAAATTTTAGGAGAAGGATCTTATTCAACAGTATACCAAGCAATCGACAAAACCAAACCCAATTCGATCATAGAACAATATGCCATTAAAGTTTTAGATAAACGTCATATTCAAAAAGAAAAGAAAACGAAATATGTTACAGTTGAGAGAGATACGCTTAATTTATTACATCATCATCCTGGTTGTATTAAACTGTTTGCTACTTTTCAAGACGATTTTTCATTATGTAAGAATCAGAGTTTTTTTTAGTTTAATTTTTTTGAAAGGTTCTGGAAGTGAGTTTTAAACTGATTTGGGATTGGTTTGACTTTTAGATTTCGTTTTAGAGTATGCTGCTAATGGTGAGATTTTAAAAGTCATCAAAGATGTGAGTGATTGTAATTCGGATTGGATTTTTTTCTTTCATTACCCATCACAAACATCTTCGATTGATAATCAGTCTTATTCTGACTTCTTTTCCTTTTTTTCTTTTCTTTTGCTGATAGTACGGTTCATTATCATTAGATTGTACGATATTTTATGCTGCTGAAATTCTAGATGCAATAGATCATATGCATTCACGTGGAGTGATCCATCGTGATCTAAAACCAGAAAAGTAAGTCTTCAACTTTTCTCAATTTTCGAACTTCCAAAAAGAATTTAACACAAGATGTTAAAATTTAATGTTTTTGATTTTTTCTTTTGGGATGGGTTCTTTAATAGTATTTTATTAGATAGTCATATGAGAATTAAGATTGCTGATTTCGGTAGTGCAAAGATCTTGAAACCTGAAGAAGAATCATCTACTGAACCTCGTTAGTCTTTTTTTCATGTGTTTCATTTTGTAATCAATTCAACTAAAACTCTCTATGTTTTGGATTTTATTCCTTTGGTTCTCAATTAAGAGAGATCAAATTCATTTGTAGGTACAGCGGAATATGTAAGCCCCGAACTTCTACTTCACAAGACTACCACCAAAAGGTAAGTTTTTCCCGATGATTATCTTGTTATTCTACATAGATCTTAATCTGATCTTTTTTCTTACGAAATTCTAGTTCAGATCTATGGGCATATGGATGTATAATTTTTCAAATGTTATCAGGAACCCCACCATTCAGAACTAGAAGTGAATATTTAACATTTCAAAAAATTACCAACTTGGACTACGAATTCTTACCTGAATTTCCATCAATCGGAAGAGATCTAATAGAAAAGATTCTATTAATCGAACCAAAAGAAAGATTAAGTTTAAGCGAAATTAAATCACATGGGTTCTTTTTTGGTTTAGATTGGAATTCGATTTGGATTGGTGATGTACCTAAATTTGAAACTGGGATTGTGAAAGCTAGTTTGAATAAATCTTTAACCTCAAACCAAGTTAAGATTGAAGATTTTTTAACTTTACCTCCCTTACCAGTTTCTGTGAATGTTTCTCCTGATCTTAGAGGAAATAATCTAGAAGAAGAAGAAGGCAGAGAAGAACATCATCATGAACCAGAAGAACCAGAAGAAGAAGGAGCGGAAGGGGAAAGGGTTATGAATAAGATTGAAGTGGATAATGAAGGTAGGAAAGGTGGAGATTTAAAGGTCGAGAAAAAGTTGGATAGAAGGAAAAGTAGATTAGAAAGTTCACTTAGTGCAACAAAGAAAGCGTGGCTTGGAGGAAGTCATGGGAATAGGAAAGCTGGCGTTGCTGCTGCTGGGGATGCTGCTGGAGAGAGTAGTGGAAGTGATGGTGGTCCGGAAGTGGGTTCTACTTGGTACATCTCATGATTTTCTTTTTTTTTGATTATTCATCAAGTTTTTCCAATGAAAACCTTGCGTTTATTTTTTTATTGATAATTTGGTTTTAATTGATCTTACTCCAATCTTCTTTTTTACAAATCGTCATTTTCCGACTTTCATCGTACTCGAAAACCAAACCAAACCACCAAACCAATCCTAAAAAACCGGTTCGTCCTTTTTTTCTTTATTTATTAAATTCTTCTCTAGATAAACTAGGGAGGACAAAAAAACACTGACTGATTTAGGAATTCATCAAATACACTTACTCATACGCACATGCAAAAAAAACCATACCAAAAGTGATATCAAAAAAACCAAAACCCAAATTATACTATACTTCACACCACACCATACCGAAACAACACAGGCCAGAAGTTTTCTTACCAAATGAATTGATGATCTATTCAACCAGTCCGATGAAGGAAAAAACCAAAACATTCATTAAAGAGAGCAGCACAAGTGAAGAAAGCAAACCTAAAATATTTCAAAGATTATTTAAACGGACCAAGAAGATGAAAAAGAAGAAAGAAGGTAAAATGAATTATACATTAGTCTTAACTGATTTTCCTAGATTGTTATTTGTTTCGGAAGATTTGAATAAATTGATGGTCAAGATTGAAATTGAGATCTTGTTTAGAGAATTACCTTTACTTGGAAATCAAATTGAAGTTGATGAAACTCGAAATGATCAAGATCTAATTAATCGAACTCGGAATCCGAATCAGATTGATAGAAATCAGGATCAAATTGGAAATCATAGGAATCAGAATCAGATTGATCAGAATCAAATTGATAAGAAAGGATTAGATTATTTTTTATTTAAACAAGTTGATTTGATTAGTTGTAACACATTTGAAGTGAAAACCGTTCGTGAAGCTTGATTCTTCCTTCTCCTTCTCCTTCTGCTTCTTTTCTACATCTTTTTTTCTTCTTCGTTTCTTGAGCTTAATGATCAATTCGTGTGTGTTTTGTTTTTTCAGTCGAATGGAAAAACCTTCAAATTTGAAGATCCAAGTGAATCAGCTCAAAGATGGAAAGATGAAATCCTTTTTGCATATGAAACTTGTCAAAATAAAACATCAAAACCGAAATGAAGAAATGAATGAAGAAATGAATGAAGAAATCCAGTTGGTTTTGTTTTTGGGTTGGTTTTTTGGTTTTTTCTTTTTGTTTTGAAATCATCAATCTTTTAAATGTGTTTGTAGAATAATTGAGGTTTTTTTTTCTCATGAAATTTGATTATCATTTGATTGTTTTCCTGAATGAAATTGATATACACATACCAAATAATGTAACTTGTTTTATTTTTTTTGCATTGATCGATTTTAATTCTTTTGAAAGGAAAAACAAAATCATGATGATACATCAGTTGGGGTTTTATATAATTTTGAAGTCAGTTAGCGTACTGAAAGCAAGTATGTATGTGTACATATAGTGGGTAGTGTCTAAAAGCGGGTAATGTTGGGCCGCCCAAGAAGCTGATTTATCAAAAACTCCATTGTATGAAAAGAACTTTCTCTACTGTAAAAATTGTTGAAAACAATATGTTCAATACAATTTTGGATTGCTATTGATGTGAGAATTCCAAATCTGCCCTCGGCTTCAAACCTGGATCAATTTTGTGGGTTTTATAAACTTTTTTCTCAAATTACCTGATTTCACACGTTTAGGCACTACCCATCATCTGCTAGTCCCGAGAAGCATGTACAGCCGTTCCAACAATTAACAGCAGAAATCTTCATTGGTGTGTTGCATCCAAATTTAATCTAAAAGTCAAAAACTAGTTAAAGCCGGCTCAAAGTGACAGGTCTCCCAGGCCTCCTTGTTCATTTGCGTGCAAAACTGGGTTTAATCCAGTTTTGACCTCTCTAGATTTAACCTTGAGAGCAACACACGATCAAAGAATTCTGCCGTTAATTGTTGGAACGGCTGTAATCTTGGACTGAGCGGATAATTTCTGGAAAATCAATGCCAAGTCACAAAACTCACTCGATTTGGGAGCCAAGGATACTGTTGAAACCCTGGCATCAGTGGCAATGAGGAAATGCAATCAAAACATGAAAATTACGTATTCTTGTTTTACTTGGGTTCTACAGCTTTACAAATTGGCCTCTGAAAAATGTAATTCTTAATAAAAATTGATAACTAAATATGTTATGAATTGCTGGTGATACAATGAGTATGCAATCCAAAAATGGAAAGGAAACATCCATGGTTGATGAAAATACAAAAAAAAAGGAAAAAAAATCATCTTGAATTGGCATCAGTTTCCGATTTGAGTGAAACTGCTCAATGAGACTTGTAAAGCTGAGTTTTGGGGTTGGGGCAGGTTGGGCTTTCATAGCCTCTCTGGGCACATCAACAAAGTCGGGATGAGCAAAGAAAACTTTGAAATCAAGACAAGATGAAGATACACAAGTTCATACATCTTTCCATCAGCATGACGAAAGAAGCAATGGATAGTTGCCAGAGGACTGGTTTTCCTGAGTCTTTCAAACAAGTCCTTGGCCTCTTGAAGTCACATGTATCAAAGCCGGAGAGTGAGTTTGAATCAGAGTCAGAGAGAGTGTTGAGCTGAAATCAGAAAGGTTCCACAAATTGTTGTTGTCCAAGGCAGATGATGAAACAAAATCGGTTTTGGATTTGGAGGGAGACAATAAACTTGATTGACAATCAGAGGCCATATCCAGATTGCTGGGTAGATTGAGCCAAGGCTTGGGTGGATCAAACTTGACTTGCTTTCTCTGTTCCAAATTTTGAGAATGCTGGCCTTTTCTCAAGCATGCTGGATGCATGTTCAAACAAATGATTGTGTTTTGTATTGCATATTTTGGCTGAATTGATTGGTTGTGGTGCATAATGTACCACCATCACACAAAATCAAATATGAAAATCATTACATTTTCAAAATATCCGGTCCAAAATTACACACTTCTCGGCACTAGCTACAACTCAAGGCTCAGTTTCAAGAGTCCAGTTACATATAATTTGTCATATGTATGTAACAGGTGCAATACTTACATCAGAGAATGTGTATGTACACAACTTTGATGTGAACCAAAGCTACATATACAGCTGTACCAACAAAGAATGACAACTTGTATTCTTCCAATTCACCAAGAGACAAAATCAGGTGAGGGACAAAACCGGGGTTTTGCACATTGATGAGAGTTAAAAAAAAGAATCTTTGTTGAAATAGCTGTATTTCCCAACCCCAACACATATGTAACAAGTGAAATATACTTATGACCCAATAGTAACTGTGTTACTGTAATTAACCTAACCTTAAAACCACAATTTGTGGGCAAAGATCACACCAGATTTGAATCATCACTTTAACATTTAACAACTTTACAGATTGCTCATTTCATCTTCCTAGAAACTTTTAAACTTTTTAAAAGCCTGATTCTACAAACCTTGAATCTTCAACCTTCTGTCTTGTTGTGAGGGTTGGGAACTCTATTGAGTGCTCAAGGCTCACCAATTTGGGCAAGTTAGGTTTTATAACTTATGTAATAGTATTTGTGAGGGTTGGGTATTCAAAAGGATACTCAATGCTCACTAAAGGTGGTCAGGGTAGTTTGTAATCTCAAATAATTATATGTATATTTCAATATAATGTAATTACAATAAGATTATAGGGAAGAAGAGGAGGGAAGGAGAAGGGGTCTGGCCTGTTTGGGTAAATCCAGACAGGCTACAGTTAAATGACTCCTGAAGAGGAGATTATAATTATAAGGAATATGACAGCTGGATCCAGGGCTTTCCTTCAATCTTCAAATGACTGATTGAAGAGTGAGGTATAGAGTCACTAGTCTGGTTGTTACAAAGTCACCAACTTATGGTTATTCAGAAGGTACACCAACCTGAGAGTTGATATAGGTCACTAACCTACGGTTGTTCAGAAGGTACACCAACCTGTGAGTTGATATAGGTCACTAACCTGTAGTTGTTCAAGAGGTAACTAACCTTGAAGTTAATTGGAAGGTCACTAACCTAGAGATGTTCTACTTAGGGAAAGTAGAGGATCCAGAAAGGGGAAGGAAGAGATTACTTTATCTTTTAGTCAGGAAGCTGCTTTAAAGATATGAAGTGAATCACTAGTCTTATTATTATAAGACTTTTGATTGTGTACTTCAATTGAACTTTAAAGGGTTCTTTAAAAGATGGGTGTAATAAATTGCTTGGGGGATTGTCTGAAGGCTGAGAGAGGAGGGGTTTATATACTCTTCTCTCTAAACCTAACTGTAGTGATATTTGTTATTATCACTACATTGGTTCAGGGCTAATCATTACTATGTGTTAATGATTATTATTAACAGTGTTTGATTACATATACATGTTATGTGTAATATGTAATATAAGCATTTTAACTCTTGACACTGAGTTATGAGGTGTAAATGGTGTTTTATTACATATTACATGTTGTTTTAAGTGCACATGTATATGTAATAAGTGTTTTGGTACATTGTATTACATGCTACATACCGTTTAAGCTCAGTATGTACATGTAATTAATTTTACACATAATGTTTTTAATGTTACAAGTTAGTTTTGGGTACATGTATGTGTACTCAGGGCTGACATTCCCCACCCTCAAAGGAGGTCATTACTTCTTTTCAGAAGGTTTATGGGCTCTTTTTTGTGCTCTGAAGTCCCTTAAGGTGGGTTTTCCATTGGGTACCTTATCAGCTGGGAGCCACTCATCTTCATCTGCACTCCTGTTTTTGTACCTCACAAGGTAAAGTGTTGCAGATTTACCATTGACTTGTGTCTCTCTTTGTTTTATTATATGTGAGAAAAATTTTTCTCCGTCAGTCTCAAACCTGATGGGAGCTTTCTTGGGTATTTCCCTGTCAGGGAATTTGCTTTTATCTGAAGGGTGAAATTTCTTGATTAATGAAATTGGGAATACTGGGTGTTTGCACCCAAATTCCTCTGTCAATGCTACTTCTACTGCGTTGCTTCCATGGAATTTTAGTATTACAAATGGTCCAACAAATTGGTCTTGAAGTTTTTTGCACCTGTACAGTTATGTTTGTACCCTATACCATTGGGCCATACAGACGTCTGTATGACCCAATGGGGTTCGACCTCCCCTGCCAAGATGATGCATCATCTTAAGAAGGATCCTGGTGACCTCCAAATTTGGCTAAGTCCCATCTTCCCTTAAGGAGATCCACACCAGCCTCGAGTGCCCACACAGCACACAACACCACCCTACAAGTAGTCCACCACCCTTGATGTCAAAACCCACCACTGTATACATTTCTTTCCCACCACCCCATCCAATACCAAACTCGATCTAAAATCTGAATAGCAAGACAACCTCAAAACATACCACCATTGTAAAATCACCCACCACCTCATACACAAACCCACCACCTTATCATTAATATCACACCTCACAAATACCTTTTGATGCTACACACATCCATCCTCACCACGCCAGTCAAAACCTACCCTAACTCCCAAATTTCAAACTTGGTACACCAGACAACCCCAGTTGCACCTTACACACGAATACCCCCACCCGCACATGTTACACCCCAACCCTACCACTGTTAAACAATAGACCCCAGCTTGATCAACGGACCAAAGACCCACTTCGCTAAGTTAACCTTCAACATGACCACAACCAACAATAATACCCTCCTTCAACCTCCGCCACATGACCTTACCGCACCATCTTTAACAGCAATGCAAACAATACTCAAAGAGCATGCTGTCACCAATGGATACAAACTTGTCATACGATCTTCCGAAAAAGACAAACAAAACTTAGAAACCATCAGTGTCCAATATGAATGTCAACAATCAGGAAATAAACCAACCAACACTTCCTCCTCCCGCAAAACCGACTGTCCATTCGCCTTCACTATATCTAAGGTCCTTGCTCCCAATGTTCCAAGTTATCTTCAAGCTTTAGTAACGAATGAGGATACCTCCAAATCACTACCTCTGGTTGGGTGCTGGATCATCAAGATCAAAAATCCCACTCACAACCATGAACCAATTGGATCTTTGGTACAATTCTAACAATCTTTTGAATTCTATGTCCTACGGTGTATTAAATCAAAATCTCCTAATGTTGTAGCCAACAACCAATTCACGTGTCAACACGTTGACAGTCATCAAGCAACGATCAGTTGTGGTGAGTCCAATCTCTTAACAAACCTTTTTACATCTATTGACATATCAAACCCACACTATTGCTCTAGATATCACAACAGTTATCTCGGCTTCCAGAAGCTCTTTGGT